CTATTACACTGTTATTTTATACAATATAGTCAACTGAATGCTTCTAAAGGGAAATTATGACCAAAAAATGGTTTCCTTGAAATGTTGTTGAAGTCAATTGGAAAGAACTTATTCACTTCTCTATGTCTTAAATTAATTGTAGTTAACTCTTTAAGAAGATTTTAAATAAAGATATGCATCTAAAATTAAGAAATGGTCTAGAACAAACAGCAAGCAGATGTTGTAACAAGGAGGTTGCACTGATTATTTCCTGAGCTGAGAAGGAATGATGAGAAAGAAGCATTACATGGACAAGTTTTATAAAAAAAATTTAAACCCATAAATCTTTACTAGAAAGTCAAGATGTGAAAATCAACACCTGTCAACAGTATTCTGAAAGGATTTGTACAATGAACAATATCTTTTTCATGGAAAAAACCTTCATTTTCTCAAATGAACATATTATGAATACATTAGAAATTAATTCAAACTGATGAACTAGCAAAATCTATGACAAAGTATTATAAAGAAATTTAAAAGAAGAATAGAAGAGAGGATACCAAAGATAAGCAGGACCAGAAAATTAATAAAAAATAGTCCATCAAGCAAAAAGGCAAAGACATATAAAGCTGAGGAAAGGTTATCGAGTTAACCATTTCTTCAAAATAGTTATGTGACTTTTTGGTTGATTGGTTGGTTTTAATCAACAACAACATGATTGCGGATTCCTTACGTACTTTGTACCAATCTGCCAGAAGAAGACAGTGTCTAGGGGGAAATGTTAAAGTGCAACAGAAAGATGGTGAACTAAGCATTGTGTAAGCTACGTCATTCTCATGTCTGTCAGCTTTTTTAAGCATGGAAGACTCAAGTTCACAGAGAAAAACAGTAACTAGCTGGAATAACTAATATGCAAAAGCAATTAATTGTTGCTTGCAAAACAAAACAAAACAAAACAAAACAAAATTATCAATTGCGCTTATCTATTATATAATTTTTAGGAATTTTCATCATGGTGTTTTAGCAGCACAATATTTGTAGAAATAAAATTAAGAGTCTAATGTGGGAATCCCATAGAAACGAAGCTCTAGGTCTGCATGCACAATTATTCCCAATAATTATTTTTGCTTTATCCAAGAACAGACATTATCTGTCTGAGAGCAATTCTGAGTCACAATGATTCTGAGTCATATATGCAGCATCAAGAATCCTTCTATAGAGAATGGTTTGGTATTACCTTCTCAGAAAATAAAGACATATTAAAAATGCTTACAAAAACATAAAACATCCACAGAGTGTGTGATTCATGTTAACTGATTTTAAGAGGGAAAACACAGGAAAAATGTATCATACATTTATGTTCATTATAAAATTATTTTGGATTTCCAATTGTGTTAACTGAAATAAGTTGGAACATTCATTAATCTTCATTTGTTTACTTTGCTTGCTTTGTTTACTTTGATTTTATTAGTATTTATTTATTTGATTTTATTAGTGTTACTTTGATTTATAGTAATGTATATTCTTCAGATGAGGAGCCTGTATCATTCCAGGAATATGAATTTTTCTGCTAAAATTTTTCTATATATTCATATCCCTGACTTAAAAAATAAATAATAATTGTATTTCAAGGGTTTATTTCTCTGTTGATATTAGTCACTGAATCATGGAACAAAATGGAAAGAAGTTAACTAGAAGTACTTACCTTTAAGCATGGAAAATAATGAGGCACCAAAACTTCTTGCTTATTCTGTTATAACTGAATGGGATCCAGCCTATTTTAATCCTTGGAGTAACTCACATGAAACACATATTTTGTCCAAGCAACAAAAATGGTTTCAATACAGTAGGTTATTCAGCTGTATGAGGATTGGAGAGAACTTGCAGCATATTCATCACAGCTGCAAGTATGAAGGGAAAACTTTCTTTTGTGTTAGAATTGCTAGTGAGGAGAGTATGCATCCATGTCTTATCACTATATACCCACCACAGGTACTTCAGAAACGCTGTGGTAGATTATTTTCCCATTGCATGTTTTTTTTTCAGTCTCCTGATACTTCTTTCATTTGTAAAGAAGATTCCTCTCCTCTGTCCTCTTCCAGCAATCAAACAAAGCTTACATGTACAAGGTTTCAACATGACAAAACTGTTGGTCCAATTTTTCTACAGCTGACGGTAAAATACATTACTGTCACTCTTTCCTCTGTCCACTATTCCAGTATTCTCCTCCATCCTCCTACTGAACACAACTGATCCAAATCATCCCTTTGAGATATTTCTGCATTAATTTAATAACCATATCCAAGACTCAGATGAGTCAAAATAATTTCCTTTGGAAAAACCAGTCTGAGGCAAAGCAAGAATACTGATTTAGAAATTTAAAAAAGACATAATTGAAAACAATGTGGAATAATATCCTATGCTATTGACAAGACCAAGCTGAAGGGTCAAAGAATTAGTAAGAGCTCTGGAAAATGTACCAGTCTCTTATTTTTGAAGATTTTCTGCACCATAAAAATCTTGGGAAAAAAAAAAAACAAAAGAAAAATTACCTAATATGAGCATCATTTATTTATCTTGCACTGTTTAGGATGTTCCAGGTGAAACAAGTATTCATGCTGGGATTTGCAGGAGGTAATTTAACTTCAGTATATGACTGAGAGGATTTCATTGCCTATCTTCCACTATTGCAATGCTGACTTTTATTACCAGCCTCATGGAAATACTTTTCAACAACACTTTTTCTCTCTTTCAATTGCCTTTCTGCCTCACTTCTCCTGCATTTTTATTGCCCTCATCTATCCAAGTTATGCCATCAGTAACTACAATAGTTTTTCTAGGAAAAAACCCCATGTAATTCTAGTACATGGATTCAACATATGTTTGTTTGTTATCATTGTCTGCAAATAGATTAATTTCACCAGGGTCACTGAATTTCAGAGTTTCTTGGTAAAATTTTTGTAAACAATTGCAGCTAGAAATAGGGATTTAAGATAGCTAAAAGGGGAGCAATATTGTGAGGGGTGTTTCTTCCTGCTTTATTGCATTCTTTCTGTCATCTACTGCTGCTGCCATTTTCAAAAGAATTGTAAAAAAAAAGACACAACACCAGCAGATAAAATTCAAAAGGAGCACTGCACCTTAGCATTTCTCTTCATAGACTGTGTAAGGACAGAATCTTCTCAGAAGTACAGCTCTTATTATAGAAACACCAAATACATAGGGTATGTACAGGAAGGGGTTAACAAAAACTCATAGGCAAGATCCTAACTACACTCAATATCAAACAGGACCAAGCTCCATTTAAAAAAGAATAGTTGAAATGGCACAATGCAATCCAACAGCTGCCATGAATCTTGCCCAATCATTTATGAATAAAGAATAATTTCCAAAATTCTCCAAAAGAAAGAACTTTTACACACTGACATACCAGTGAAAAGCTTGAATTTTCTGGGTACTGGAATGTCAGTTCTTTTTCTGGGACTTGAAATATTCTATGTAATATTAAATTGCACCTCATTCATGCTGCTCTTGACATCATTCTGAAAAGAAAGGCACTCACAACAGAATTTATGCTTTGAATGGAGAAAGAAAATAGTGCAGTAAAAAGACTTTTCACTGCTGGAGACTGACCATAGTACTCTGAACTCTACTGACATAGAAGTTTACAGTAAATTTGGATGTATCCTACTATGTGAGAGAAAATGAAGACATAGAAAACACATATGGAGACTTGAGCACTGTAATCAAGATTTTATTTGAATTACTTTCCTGGAGGTTTCAGATAGGTTAAACCACAGCTGCAGGAAATTTAATGTATTTTGTGTGAAATGAGTCTAGATGACTGATTCACATGACAAAAGATCATTCCATAAGCAAAGCATCATTCCTTAATTTTAAAGATGTAAAGGAAAAGCAAGCTTTGAGATTTAACAATAAATATTCAGAAATTTAATCAGATAAAGAGCCAGCAAATCTGCACACTTGCTATACTTAATTTCAATCATGTTATCTGGCTTTATATGGATAATATATATAAGGATCAATATTTTCCTGAAGAACTGCATTCCTTCTCAGGAATTCAGTACTTAGAACTGTTACAAAATCTTTTTGTTCCTTCATCAGTCCAAAGAGACAAATAGAAGGGTTCTAATTAAGCACCTTGTAAGAACCGAGAAACCTGTTTAGAATCCCAGAGATCTGGAAATTTAGACAAGCTGATTAGCCACCTGCAATAGGACTCCTGCTCCTTGGAAGTCATGTTAATACAGTGGTGAGATCCACTGTTCTCAGTGTTTCAAATGTCTTTAGGAGGCTCACAGGGCACTGGAAACCTGAGCACACCAAATCAAGTTTGCATTTGTGTTAAACTGTGCAAATATATTTTTATTGGAGGAGGTCTATAGTCTCAATGAATACACTCCCATAACATTCGTCTGGTTCACTTGAGAGTATGGATCTAGATTTACTAGCCAGCAGAAAGTGAAAATCTGCTGTTTAATTTTGAGAATTCACGACTATTACAAACTTCTTCTCACTTTTATACTGTCTTCAAACTCTTCCAATGTTAACAAGGACAATCCCAATTCACAACTGACAATATAAGAGCAAAATATTTCTTTGAATACAGAAGCATTATGTAAACTATCATATTTACCTTATGTGAGAAGAAAATTAGCTTTCAGGAAGAAAATGTTCAAGTTGGACTAAATAAACTCCTGAGAGTTTTCCTGTGCTAAAATATATTAATTTCCAGTTTTTAATAATCAAGGTGAACTTACAAATTATTACTTTCAATTTTCAATCTGTCAAAACATGCTCATTGACTGGTATTACACAGTCATTGACAGAAAAAATATTGATGTGATGATGAAGCTTTCAGAAGTCTTCATTGTATTAAATGTACTCAGATCCTTAGTCATGGAGGACATCAATTGAATGAAATTATTAAACATACAAATAATTCAAAATATTTTATACTTATTTTGCAGATTAAATTACTTAAATTGTTCACTACTTACCCCTGTTCTTTGAACTTCCAAGAAAATTGCTCTTTGGAATGATTTCTCCCACACTGCCAATTCACTGCCCAGCTCTACGTTGAAATAGTGGCTCTTGCCATGCCCAACCATGACACTGAAACAATACGGCCTCTGGTCTTCAAGATCAAAGTCCTGGTGAATACCTAAATACAAGTTTGCTTGTAGCCAGCAATCATCAGCAAGCCAGAGCTGAAAGATATGTTTCAGTATGTGATTCTTCATCTGGCAAAACCAAAGAATTGAAGCAACACTGTCTTCCGTAAGTGATGGGTACTTGGATATACTACGCCATTATGTCAACAATTGTGTTGAAGAAATGTTCTAGGAGTTAAATAATTATGTCAAAGACAGCTTCTCTCTTTGCTTGTCATTTGCTTTATTCCCTATCTTTTAATCCAAGCTACTCCTGCAGTTCCAAAGTACTGTCAAAATTACCTAAGGAATACATCTATAATTTAAAGGGAGTTTGTACAAATACATTGCTTACAGTGAAAAAAGAAGGAAACCCTTGAATGTTTCAATAAATTCCAGGAGCTGTATACCAGCTCTACAGGAGACTATAATTACTCCATTCTACTTGGATTCCAATATGTGAAACCCCAAGGAATGCAGTAATTTATCAAGCACCCCAGGGCTAATTCTAAAAATGACAACAGGGGAATGTCCTCCAATAGCTGTCAACACTGTTCTGTAACTACAAGGAGACTGAAACAAGATCCTGGCCATCACCTTCAAGATAAAACAGAGAAAATGTACATTAAACTTTCATAATAAAAAAATATACCTGCAATACAATATTTTGTAAATGTAAACAAATTAATACAAGAAACTTCCCTAATATTTTAAGACTTCGTTGATTAACATAAATATAGAGGCAAATAAAACTAAATAAAAAAGCTACAACTTATACATCTAAATACTTCCACTGCTTGAATTTCAAAATTACACATATCTTTACTTTTCTGTTTTTCAGATAGAATCCTTCCCTATCCCCATTTCTCTCTGATATCATGGGGCAGAAAAGACTAAAACCCCAAAATAAGTAGCAATGATTCATGGGGCATCTAGGGAGCACCACATATTGCCACTAGGGTACAAAGCACTGTGTTGTCAAAATTGGCCCTGCTACTACCTGAGGAGAAAACAGACTTTATGAAGCTCTGTTATTTTACAACACTCCTTTGCACTGTCAAAAAGGAAGTTGAACAAAATTCCTGCATATATTCTGGTGTTCAGCAGCTATGGAGTGACAGATATTACATGTGCTTCAAGACTCAGTGCTGCATATCCTGGCTTTTAGACTACTATATTAGCATTTTTTAAAAAATTTTCATGTGAAAATACCAGACAATAAAAGAAAATAAAATGTTCTTAAGACAAATGACTTTTAAAAATGTACAGGATCACAGTAAAAGTTTGAATTATGAGGCAAGCTATAAGAATAAACACATGCAATGCAAGGCATTACATTTCAAATAATCTGGCTGTTACCACCAAATGAACAGAAATATGCAAATGCATATTATATATATGAATTTTAATTCACATATTTGTGTATTTATATTTATGTATATATACATCCAAATCTAAAATATATCAAACATTCTTTTTTAAAATTTAAGTTCCCTATCGGATTGATATTTTCCCTGTTTAACTCTTGCATCATAATAAACATAGATGAGAAGTTTACAATTATGTGTGTAACAAGAACACTTCTCCTTAAAATCTATATTTTGTGAGAAGATATAAAACACACTCTCCCACAGTTTTGCACTAGTTCTAACCAGCCTCTGAAAATCCTTAAGAACCCCCTCCCCAAATGGCAGCTTTTACAACATAAGCCTATCATATCTAATGCAGAAACCTTAATCTCTTACAATTTTTTGGATTTGTTCTGTTTGCCTCATTGTCATTTATACCAAAGAATCAACAGAAAAGAGGTTAAGGAGTTCAATTCGAGCTTTTGCACTTTAGCTTACTTATTAATGAAGTCTGGCAATTAAGCATTCATTTATTAAAATGTCAAGAATATTAAAGAGTTGAACCATGAGTAGTTTATTTCCCAACTTCTTTTTCTTAATGAAAAAGTATTGCAGAAGTTGCAGAATCCTTGAAATTACCATAATATTCCGGGAACAACTGAGTTTTAGCACTAACACTTATAGGAGAAAAATCAAAACCAAAACCCAAGCCACAGGAAAATCTTCCCAAAAGGCTTAATGTCTATATATCTAATTGGTGTCTGACTTATTTATGAGCCAAAAGTAAAATTATAAAAAATATAAAGGAGACTAAATAAATGATCTGTGACAGAAGATCTACTTTTTGTTGGTGTGTTGGGGACGGGAAGGACCTGAATTTGCCCATATGGAGACATGGTCACACAAAAATAATGCCATGACTACAAGAATATGGCTCTGCTCCTGTTCCTCTGGAGCTGAGCTCTAGTCCTGAACTCCGGGACTACTGTTTTCCTGGCATGGCACTGCCAAAACACTTCCTTCCCATGCCCTGAATAACCTGCATCAGAAAAAAAACCCCAACAAATAAAAAAATTCCTACAACACTAAAAAAACCCCTACACACCCCAAACCAAAGCAAACCAAACAACCCCCAAAAAGACCAAATCAAAAACCTTAAGCACTTTTGCTTCAGTGCAGGATCTGTTACAGGTAACAGCAACAACCTGCCTTTTCCACCACATCAGTGTGTGGTCAAAGAGAAACAGCAGAGAAAGGCAGCAGCTGGTGAGAGCTAAAGGTGAGCTTTAATTTTTCACTTAAATACTATTTTATCTGAAAAGATAGGTTTTTCTTGTGTGAAAATATTCTTTACTCTCCTAGGCAAATAGGCTCTCACAGTAGCCTTATCTCACCTGAAAAGGTTTTGTTTTTGTTGGAGAACAAAATTAATCTATCTGATGCATTTTATCAGACAATATATTCCATAAGCCAATTATTTCCGTAAAGTGATAATATTTTGATGCAAATCTTTAATTAGAACAAGCTAGACAGAAAACATGGAGTTTTTCTAGTTGGGGGAAGAAAATTAATTCTATGGGAAACAAACATGACATGCTGCCCTTTATAAAGAAAAAAACACTACAATACTTGATACAACAATCAATACATATGATACAACAAGGAAATAATTTTATATTTTTAATTTCAAAAATGAAAATATCTTTATATGGATCAAGAATTACAGCAAGAACATTTTTTATCATGTTTGCTTGAAAATCTGACCCACTAAGAAAAAACTAATATCATTATGCTTAGCAGTGTGTCTCACTGATATTTCATATTGAAGTATCATATTCAGCTCTAGTACTGAAAACTTTCTTCAATAAGAAAACATGTTAGTAACTTGTTCACTTGGAGCTTACCCCCTTTTCCATATTTTCTTATACTTCCACAGCTAATGCCTTAGCAATTGAAAATAGCTTTTTATAACAACAAATGAACTATTTGAATACTAGTTATTCCTGGTTGAGATTAATTTGAGCTTATCATCAACAGGAAAAGGTTAACTTTACTAAATAAAATCACTGGAATCGTTGGGAAACCTACCTTGTGAATTTTAAATAGAACCTCACAGAGGTTATAGATTTTTTCAGCTCGTACCCAGTCTAGTGTGCTCACCTATAATATAAAAAAAATTATTAACACATTTTTTATTTGAAAATCATGTTTAGATGAAAAAAAAAATGAAAATATTTCACTCATCATTATTCTACTGGATCTTTTAAATACAGGCACATCACTACATTTAATATCCAGCATTTAGAAAAGACTGCAAATAGTATTAAATTTTTACAGAAACAGGAATTAAAACGTGTTAAATAATTTACTTCTTCTTTTCCTAGTATGATGGAAATGTCTTTGTAATCTCTGTGGTTAGTTACATAAGCAATTTTATTTCTCAAGATGCTAACACAGAGAACTCGGTCTTCAAACACAGAGTCATTCAGTTTCATGTCTAAATATGAAAAAAATCTTACAATCAATACATCAAGATGTATTCCAAAATTCAGTTTTGAATTTACATGCACTAGGGAGGCAATAACTCAATATTTATTCTAAAACTGGAAAAGGGCTATGTGACTGCAATATTTAAAATCAAGGAAAATATCAACTGTGTGCTCAATAATATGAAAACACCTATATTTTCTTTCCTTTTGATTTCATTACCTAATCCTGTTCACATGACAGGCTGTTAAAATCTAAATAGCAAGAATGACTGAAGTTTTTACTAAAATTCTGCTTAATGATATGATGAGATAATCTGTTTCTCTTAAAAACAGTACCCAGCCTATATTGTTCAAGAAAAAAGAAAAAAAGAACTCACACATAGGAAAAATTCAATGGGAATATGTATCATTTTTCTTATATGTTTTAGTGCAAAATCCTAGCTCTTGGGGAATGCACAGGAATGGCTGCATAGATAGATGAAGGATTTGACTAGGTTGCACCTCTGAGGCTTTTGGCATATGGAAATAAGTATTTTGGTAACTTTAATATTATCTTGAATAATTTAAAATTCTAGGGCTTATACAGCTTTGTCCTATTCCCACATCCCAACCAAAAGGAAGAAAGCAGAAAGAATAAATTAAAAAATTAAAATAATTGACATAAACAAAACCTTTTCTGTCAAACATTTTCAATCACAGATTATTTTTCTCTGTGTTCACAGTAGCACATAATTCACCTTCAAAAAATTTAGTATTTCTCCTGATGATTTGCATGGAGATATCAACATGTTTTGGTTATTTTAGAATTTATTTAATGTTTAATTTTCAAGTGTCTTAAAATTCTAAGCTGTTAAAGAGAATTGCAATAACTTGATGAGATTCCAAACCAGTACAACACTTACAGGACTCTAGTGGGACTTCTGTTAGTTATGAAATGTAACTTCAGTGTCCTTTAGAGGAGTAATGTGAACTTGGTGTTAGTTTCCTTCTAATCTTATAATCTGAATTAATTCTTAATAATCTAATTATTAAGAACTAAATCTAACAATCTAATCTTCTCCCAACTTCTCTCAGGTGTAGATTAGTTTTTTTGGATTATTAAATTTAGATATTATGAATCACCGACTGAAATGGGACTGAAGAACTCTAGAAATTCTAGCCCCACATCTTTTCAGGATATAGAGGGACTCACATTCTAGGATTCTCCATTTCATCATTTCTATATCTTAACAATCAAATGGCAAACATCACTTTAACACAATACATCCACTAGAATATATAAAACAGATTGCGCACTTTATTTTACTATGAGAGATGTTTCAAAAATTAAAGCTCAAAACATTACATGCAGCTAATTTTAAAGCTACATGATAAAAGCACATAGTACTACTTAAACTTTTTCAAATTTAAATCTGACGTCAGCTGATTTAGAAAGGAAATGTAAATAAATTCTAGGTACTAACTTGTCCTCCCATCCCTTTATAAAAAGGCAGCAATTTTTAAAAACATATCTTTCTATTTTTTAGGTTTCCATTTCTACTTATTTTTTTGTAAGTCCATTCAATATTTTATTTGATTTTTACAATTTATATATTGCACAAATAAGAAATAACCTAAGTTTTGAAACAACTGAAACAAAGCACTTATAAAGTTAATTCACGGAGAAATGTACATTTTAACAGGCTCACAATAGAGTAAGCACTGCAGGTCTTTGATTAATCTTATGTCCAGAAAAATACTTTGTACTTTGATGGCTGTTTTGGAAAGAAAATAATTAAATAATACGTGTTTTGGCCCATTACTGTTGATACTCTTAAGGGATATTCATGCTTCTTCAAAATAAGGTTTAGAGTAGAATGGAGGCTAGTTCATTACTTGGTCTTGAATTTTTCAAAGGGAAAGGATATTTTCCATCTCAGTTAACAGCAGGAGAACCCTTTTTTACTCTAAGTGGCTAGACATAGAAGCATAAGCACTGATTCATTTGCTGTTTATGCCACTGGCTTTGGTGACATAGGCTATGACCTGAAACCTGTTGAGATATGAATGGACTTTCGTTTGCTCATATCATTTGTTTTGATTCCTGAAGATTAATTTTAACTGTTGGGGATCTTTGCACTATAAATGATGGATGAAGGTGACACTGCTGTGCCATTAAATTTACTCTGAGTACTTCAGATTTCTTCCCATTATTCCACACATCTCTTTCATCTTTTGATGCTGTGTAGCCTCATATGACTTTTTCAGCAGAGGCATACAGTGATAGTGACAGCTGCTGTCACCTGTATAAGCCAAGGTTTTCTTTACCTGTGTCTGTCAGAGAAAGGTTGCCATACTTAGAGAGTGAAACAGTCTGAAAACCACTGTGTGCAAGGTGCTCAGAACATAAAAAAGCATGTTGAGAGGAATTTTAAGGAGGCAAAATAAACATATTAGAAAGGAATACTAGAATCTAAACAGACAGCTGACATTTATAGTTTTATCAGCACTTTCATAGCATGTCGAAGTTTAAAATGTTACTGTTACAGACTGCTTTACTTTTAAAACCCCACAAATAACCATACAGTCCTAGTCAAGAAGAAAACCTGGAAATAATCAGGAAAGTTCATGAAAACTGTGATATCCTTCATTTGTTTTAAAGAATGTTCCAGTTTATTGCAGGTTATCCATCATCGCACATGTAATAACTGGGTAACAAGTACCTAAGATAAATGAGATACCCAAGTATATTTCTTAGTCAATAAAGTAGTTTTTCCTCATTATTTCCCCTTGGAATTGTTCCTGCAGGTATTCCATACATTGCAATTTCTTGGCATGACAGTGTTATTATTTTTTTATGAAGCATTTGACAAAACAGCTCCATTTAGAATAGATGACTCAATGAGACATGCTTGCATTCATATGAATTTAGTTCAGACAGCTTCAGGAATAGTGTCAAATTGCATGAGAGTTTCAATTAGCATTCAGTAAGTTTCTGCTTTAATTCATGTTCATCTACTATATGAATTTATGACCAAGAGGAACTGAATGTTGTTATCTATATTATTGGCAGACCACTTCCATAGCTAACCCAGTGTAGTATGTGTTGAGTAATTGGTTCTGTAGACATTTAGCTATATTAATCCTTTCAGGATTAATACACTGCAAAACATTGCAAACATTGCAAAACTAAGACATTTGTAAACTCACAGGTAACACTGAGCTGATCAGAAAGATAATAAGACCAAACAGGGTTACAAAAAATAGGAATCTGAAATTACAATTCTAAGTCTCTTATGAGAGACTAAAATAGGTATATAGAGTTACAAAAGTTCCAAGTGTTGCAGAAATAATTTTATTTTAGCATGAGTTTCTGCAATTTCCTCATGGTTTAAAAACAGGCATTACAGTGGAGTTCTGAAAATAAACAAACTGAAAAAATCTAGCTTTACATAGACCAGGTGATCTTATTATCAGTTCAAACTTAAATTCCAAATATACTTACCTTTAAATATGTGAATTAATAATTGGCTTTTCTTTAAAAAGTTATTATTTAAAATAGAGAGAAAACAATGAAGTTAAACTCATTTTGACACACACAGTAAACAATTAGCTCATAAAATTACTCCCTATAAGAGAACTCTGGAATTATAACATGGGTGTTGGAGTTCTGGATGTGAGATTTTTAGACTTTCTGTGCTGACAGACTCTGACTCCCAAGAGAGCCCTGCCTTTGACCTGAGGCTGTGGAGGAGGCTTCCAAAACTGATTGATAGCACTGAGATTACGGGTGTGTAGTTTGATTAGAAGTGTGTAACATCACAGGGTGTAAAACTTAAGAGTTTAAGGTTTCAGAATATAATAATATATATAGAGAAAGCTGGAGGTTTTAGGGCAGAGGCTGGTCCTTCTACTTTACCTTCTTCCTTCTTCTGCATGGGGTTGGGTGGTATTTTGTAATTGGACAGAGAAGTCTGAATTGCAGACTTTGAGTGATTGATTATTGGGTTAAAGGCGAAGATAATTTAGGTGCCATTTCTTTAATTGGATAGGTTAGCCTTAAAAGACCTTGTAAGAAATGATAGTTAGCCATTTTGCACCTTGTTAGTGAAATACTGTAGAACTCACTGCCTGTGAGACTGTAACATAGATAAGAAAAAATAAACACCTAAGTCTGAACACAAAATATAATCTCGAGTGCCTTCAATCCTGACCTCAACAGAGGCAGAGAAAAGAAGCCAAGAACTGTCAATAGGCATGAAAGGCTTTCATGCCTGCTCAGAGATCACCACTAAATAAAGAAATATGGCGTGAATGTAAAAGAGAATCATACTTCAAAAATAACTGAAATCAAATTAACATAACATATTCTTGGACTTTCTCTGAACACAGAATTTGATTCTAGAAGTCTCCAGAGACCCCAAAAATATTAAAAATATTCGAATAAATGTAGAGGAAAAAAAGTTAAAGTACTGATAATATTTGTTACTGGAATTCAGCAAAGGCTGTATTACCTGAGAATTCAGCAGAATCATCCAACCTGCCTAGAAGTACTGAAAAGGTCTAAGGAGAAGATGAAATACTTCTAGGTAAAGAGTAATTAATTTCACTGGTCTTTTCGCTCCTTAAGGGAAAAAAAATAAAAAACCACAAACCAAAAAAACAAGAATTTTTTAAAGATTATTTTTAGCATTTAGAACTTACATGACAGCATTAAAAACACTGCTTGTCTTAATTACATTGTGCAAGCTTCTCTATACTGTCAAATGTGGAACTATTTCTGATACTTTCACAATATTCTTCTATTTGTTCTTTTCTTAAAATTATAAGCAGCCCATTCAGTGATTGTCTCGCTGCCTTCATGTATAATCACATCAGTGCTATTTATTTAATCACATTAAAAAAGATAGTTTTGCAATTAAGCGTTACACAACAGATCTAAGGTTATGGCTACTTGAATACTTTAATGTAAAAATCATAATGAACTATAAGGGAAACATAAAAAAATCAAACAGTAGAAATCTCCCTTCCATGTAGCCCATATTTCATAAAAACATTATTTTCTAGAAATTTTCAACTATATAAAATATATTTTGATTTTGAATGATAATTTAGAATATTTTTTCCTCAGTTTCTTCTGGGAGACGAATTTAGAACTTTTCCAATATCTGAAAATTGACAGGAATTTTATAGATGCTTTTAGAATGTAATAAAGTACTGCTTGTATATTAAAAATTACACAAGAATAATTTCTATTGGTTCAGTGGTGTTTTTCAGATATTCAGTTTTTAGAAATGGGTCACATTTCTAATATAGCAGTGTGTAAATGAAATCTGTAAATTTTTAAATACAATCAGATAAGCCACTTCAGGGATGCAAAATGACCGTTATCTGTTAATCACATGATTCTTGATATTTACTACTGTGGTGAAGCCTCTACATTTCTGGAATCACCATCTGATATATTGTAGAAGTAGCATATAAATAGAATATTACTTGTCGTAGTGAATTATTTCATAGTAAAGTATCCACTATTTTCCACAATTTTCTTTAATTTTGCTCATATATAACTATGTTTTCCATTCTTATGAAAATGAGCAGCTGTATTTACAATCATGTCATCTTTTATACACAATGAAATAGAAAAAGAGTGGAAATTGTACTACATCCTTTTACAAGCAGTTGTAAAATTATGGATAAAGATAAGTTTAGAATTTTTAGGTCCTCTGCTCTGTGCGCACTATATTGATACACTGATATGCAACTGATTTAGAATACAAATAACAATAGCAACATCTCTGAAATAAAATGTGTTAAATTTCTATCTTCTAAAGTTGAAACATTTGTATTTTTGTGATTGAACAATTTTTTTTTTCTTCTTGCTTAAAATAGTAAAAAACCCAAGCCTCAGTAGGAGCAATGGTAAGAGCAGTAGCATCTAATATCTCTAAAAGCAGTGAAAGAGCTTTATACACTGTTTTCTGGGAGTACCAGTGATTCCAGCTACAGAGTTGGGACACGTGGCACAGAACCAGTGCCACGGGAGCTGTCCAGGGGCTGTCAGGGCAGGGTCCCTGCCAGGCAGGTCCCAGCTCATGGTCCTGCAGTGGATTGACCTTGTCACACAGCCAAATACCCACACAGCCTCTCACTAACTCCCCAGTCCCCTGCTATGGGATGGGAGAGACAATAGGAAGAGCAAAATCAAGAAAATGCGTGGGGCAAGAAGACAGTTAATACATTACTTGGTAGTAGCAGTAACAAGCTACAAGTAAACAGCAAGAAGCAGTTTAATAAGTGATGAAAAGGGGAAGAAATCAATTCATGCAAAGACAATCGCACACTGCTCACCCCAAGTAGAGCAACGCCTAGCCATTCTCCAATCAAAGGCTACTTTTGAAGATCACATCCTCATTTTTTATTGCTGAGCATAATGTTTCATGGTACATGATATCCCTTTTGTTCTATGTAAATCAGCTGTCCTGGCTCTGTCCCCCCCAGCCTGTCCCAGTCCCAGGCAGTTTGCTGGCTGAGCAGAGAGAATGGAAAGGCTGCACCAGCCCTGCTCAGCATCAGTTCAAACAAGGCCGTCTTAGCTCTGCTTTAGCCCCAGGAAGAAACCACTGCCACATGGGCTGCTCTGAAGTGGTGGCCTCCCTCCTAGCAGGGCCCAGGCAGGACCAGGGCAGCCAAGGGGACAGGGCCAGCCCCAGCTCAGGCACCAGCCATGTCCCTGGGAGCAGTGACAGGCCGAGGCTGGGCTGGACATGGGCCCCTGGGTGGCCCTGGCTTGTGGGACCATGGCTGGGCAGGGCTGTGGGGCCCAAGACTGGCCCTGCTGCCCTGCAGGGAAGGACACCAACAAAAGCCAGGGCTGGAGGTGGCCTCAGGAGAATGATAATCAGCTTCAAAGATTTAGATCCAGGTTTGAAGTCTCCACATAGGAGGTTGCTGAAAACTGTGAATTTGGCCTTTAGTTTTGGGGGGTTTTTCCCTTGATGAGAGACATCTGGGGAATATTAAAAGAGCAAGAAAACCAGTCAACAATTTTATGATTTATAGACTCTTTCACATTTACTGGTGCATCATAGTATTGAGGTGACACAACACATTGATCAAAAGGATGCCCTTGGTTCATGTTTTGAAAGCCAAGGATCCTACAACAAAAATTTGTAAAAGGATAATAGATTCTATCATGTAATTTCTACTACCAGTCATCCCCACTTGCCTGTTCTTAGTATATTGCTGAAAATGGAAAATGAAGTAGTTTATCCCAAATTAGTACTGTATATATGTACAATTTTAACTATATCAAAAATGTGTCTTAGAAACAGGTCTGAAGACAATAATTTAACTTTAGAGAGGAATATAATTCCTTTGGTGTGTTATTTATTTGTTTAATATTTCTGGATACTACATTTTAATTGTATTGTAGTAATTGTATCAAATTTTAGTTCATTGGCTTAACATATGAAACCCCTAATTTTCAGAGGGGGAATCCCCCTGCTTTTCCCACGTGTTGTCTCATTTAAAAAAGAAGACTATTGGCCATTTTAGAATGTTTGAAATTAATTGGAATCATTGGATTAATAATTTCAATCTAGAGAGGGGGAAATTTTACTTATTGCATTTTATCGAGGTTCTCAAATAACTTGAAAAGTATGCACTTCCCAATGGTGCATACTGCAGAGAGTACACATATAAAGGATCAAATTTTCTTTGGACCAGACAAAACTGGGATATCTTCTGAGCAAAACTGTAGGCAAGTTGTATAATTGAAATTCCATGCTAAGTCCACATTTTATTCTTTTATCATTTGTTTAAGGGAAAGGTTTTCTGGAGAAAAAATAAAGGATTAAATGTGGTAAGTATAGGTAGTTTTTAAACATTTTTGGAATTCTACAGCTCATTTCCATTTCACCCTTCTAAATTAATTTTTAGAAAAATACTTTATAAGGCACCTGTTGTGAAACAGAATTCTTGTAATGAGGTATATAAACGATCAAAGCAAGACTTGTCCAAACTGTACACTTAGCATTTGATCCCTTGCTTGTGTGAAAAATCCATGAGTATCATCCAATAGTATAGATGGCTTATTTCATGATGCATCTTGTCTTTCAGAAAGCAGAGTAACTACCAACTCATTACATCTACAAAATACTTTAGAATAAATAAAGGAAGAAATATTAGGCCTCACCAACCAAAATAAAACCTGACCTTGACAACTTCAAAAACAAAACATACAGCAAACTTTTCAGAGGACCTTGAAAGATGTTAAATATCTACAGTTTATTGAAATTCAGTGGCATCTGTGACTTTAATTTACATTGAAATCTCAGCTGAAAACTTTGCTTGATAAAGGAAAACAAACCCAGACGTAACAAACAGGTTTCCATTTACAATGAAACTGATACAAAAATATCAATTTTTTTACCGGTGGAGTGCTGAAAATGTAGAAGGATGAACCCTTCAGGGCCAGAAACTTGAATTTGTAGAGCTGAGATGAATCAGTTCCTTCAAGCCTCTCATTTACCCATCCCATATGTATGACCTGTAAAAGAAAATAATTGAAAATTAAAGTTCTCTTTCTCAGTGGATCATGGTTTTAGTAGCATGGGATACATCATCTACTTCACATTTGCCTTGCAACCATTTCTATATTCTTGAAGCATAAAGTATAATGCCAGTGTGTCAGAAGTCCTTGAAGAGACTTAAACTTGTAGTACAGGTAGTCTGAATCTTATCTGAAATAATCCCTGTTTTAAAAGCCACCTATGCAGGTCAAAGCAGACTCACATTTGAGCCAGCAGAAAATCTACATGTACCAAAGTAGTTCAGTAGTTCAGCAGTTTATAAAACCATAATACCTTATCTATAGCAAACTTGGACATACTGATATTTCTATTACACATACCTCTAAAAAAATACCTCTAAACAAATCATTGAATTTATCTGAAATCAAACAGCTTTTACCAGGCTCATGTTTGCAACTGTTAAAGTCTTTGTCACACTTGTTGTCTTTCAGAGTTTATACATTTTCATATATGCTTTATCACATTTATGTTTTCAAAGAGTTAGGTATCAAATCCAGTAGGTAGACAATGTTAGCAGTGTTACAATGCATGCCTTTATTTTCCAGATGAAGTAATGCTAAGAAAAAATGAAATGGAGAAGTAAGATTGCATGCTTCCTTTTTGAGGCAAATACAAGTTTATAATGAAACGCCATAAATAAGAATGCCATGGTATGGCAGCAGAATATCATAAATGTCTTTACTAAAAAATAACAAAGCAAAAACATTCTAGGCTCCATTTTGAATAAATTAAGAGGAACATATTGCTCTTGAAACAGGTACTTAAATCTAGAGCGAATCACCAATCTGAGTGTACAAGTATTGCTGAGCAGCTTGCTCATTTTCAACTAAGGCTACACTTACAGAAGGAAATGATTTACAGGGGGAAGAAATGTCAAAGCCCTCACTAATAGTATGGATGAATTTTCATACCTATATTATGAAGACCTCACAAATTGCTTTCTAATGTTGGTATTTATTGTATGAATTATGTCTTTTGTCAATCAATTTATTAATAAATGAATAATAAATCAGTATGTTGAGCCAGACAATCCTTCACCATACTGTTCTTCTGAGCTCCAGCACTAACATTTTAAGGACATCTAAAAAACTGCAAAATAAATACAGCAGACCTTCCAGTTCTTGATTTGCTGTTCTGTAAATTGAATAACTCTCACCAAAACATTGTTTCTCTAGTAGTCAGCAAAAGTGTTGAAGCAGGATATTCAGACATTACATTACTTAAAAAAAATTACTATATTATTGTTGCTACTCTACAATAATGATATTATATATTCAGTTTATCAGGGTCTTAATATCAAATCACACAGACAAAAAGAATTATATCAAATATAGTTTTAGGGGCTTTTACTTTCTTTCTACATATCTTTTTTATTGACTGGTTTATTTAATGGTCTTTTAGATTTCAGAAATGGAGAAAGAATTATTATTCAGTTCAAAAAAATCTCTATGGAACAAAAGCAAACAAGTGTTGGTACTTATTTACAAGCTGTCTGTGGCGTACTGGGATACTGAGATTTTAATGTGATCTTAGTATGTGGGTGGGAATGTTAGTCTGGGATAAAAAAATATTCTGTTTGTTTGATTGAAACCTGCCATTTGAAGTTTTCAGGAGAGATCACAAGGCATTATACAACAGACTGTCCCTTCTCAGCACTGCTTTCACTACATCATACATCATTGATATGTTATTAAGTTTCTAACATGTTTCAATACACTTTCCAAAAGTTCCCGTAAGAAGAAAATGAGCAATGGCACTCATTACAAGGAGATAAAACAAGTCACTAACAAAATGTAATGCAATCATAGCCGATAAATGAAAGTTCTTATTTGCACTTATTGTTTTCCTGCAGTAATAAAGCATCTAGATGCTGTAATGACTGGAAATTTAATGTGTTAAATTTAATAAAGCAGTCAATTTTGTAGTAGCAGTAAATTTTGTATATAGTATTTTAGTTACATACTTATGAAAAGTAAGTGATGCAAAACACTCAGGAGGGAATTGAAGAAAGAAAATCAAATAGATGTCTGTGTATGACACATCAGAAGAGACAGATACACTTATGTAATTTAAGTGGGATAATAATCTACAAGAGATGCTAGACTGACCTGCAAGTTAAGAACCAGAGTCATACAAAGAGGCACACTGGAACTACAACAAATTAAGAAAGCAAAAAGAAGTACATCTTGAGGCATCTTAAATCATTTTGGGGGAGTCTTTTCCAAAACAATGGTAGATGGTATATTTTGAAGAAAACAGTTATTGGGGCAGGACTGGGAGTGGGGGGACAAGCAGTCCTTACACATACATAAAGTTTAACTAAAAGCAAAATAAAAATAAAATATAAGATTGTAATGCTGTAAGTTTTGATATATTACATTACTGTTTTCCATTTTACACCAGTTGCATTCAGTTATGTCTGAATGACTGCTATTCAAAATAAAATGCTCTAGAGAGCAAAGCATAGAGGAACTTAGAAATTATGACAAAAGTTCTCTTTGTGCTTTAATGAAGAACAAAATTCGTAACTCCAAGCTGGGCACAGTTTGAACACCACAAATAGCAACATATCCACACTATGCTGAAGGGAACTATGAAGATAGGCATGTACCTGAATTCATGCATCTTCCCAGGCATTGTCTGCCTGGGCAAAATTTAGATTACAAGTCCTTTTGGGTAGCAATAAAAGTTTCTTCTCTTTGTTTTCTTGTTTTAACAGGAGGCTGGTAAATTGGACCTGATGTCTCTCACCTTTACTCATTACAGCCTTCTTGTTCAAGTTAGGATCCAAAGCACAAAACTCTATCTTGAAGACAGCTACAACCAGTAAATTGCCTTATGGTTATGCATTCTTATAGCAGATCAGTAGCACTATTCATGCAGCAGGAATTAAGCAAACTAAAGAAAAATGAAAACATCCTTCACAAATTCTTTTTTCTTGTATTTCTGCTTTGTATTTTAGTAATATTACAGCAATAAGTGGAAAAATAAAGAAGAACTGATTTCAAACTATAGCTGTTTATCTCACAGAGCATCTATACCTCACAGCACTGCCTATCAGCTGACTAGGGGTTAAAAAGCTCAGTGTTTCTAAGTGATTCTTCTTCTGTTAAAGTTTTTTCAGTTGTGGATCTGAAGTGCCAGAAAAAGTCTCTGAAGCTAATCAAGGCAATTTCATTAGGAAATAAAAGCTGCCCCCATATTTGAAAAGCTTCTTATTTAGTATTATGATTTTATAATTATACCACACAGAGTAGAAATGAGGTTTCTGAAAAACATATTATCCTACCCTCTCAGAAATGCTGTAGCCCTGATACCTATTTTGTTTCTAAAAAATGCTTCCTTAATGTTCCCAGGCTCTCTCCTATAGTGGAGGCTGCCTATTTTCTCTTAGTAATCTATTCTAGCACTTTATTTCTCATGTCCAGCATGAATCAGCCTCACTGTAATCATAATTACTGCCCTTTCCACTAAGACTCAAATGGTTTTCACCTTTAAGTGGAAGAATTAAAAAACTTAGTTCACAAATGGAGCAAAAATAGACGAACAAGGATATGTAGCTGGTGTAGCCATCATTCTTTGCTGCTTTTCACATGTTATTCTCTGAGCAAAAAGTTATCATTGTTGAATATTTCTTTCATACCTCTGTATTTTTCTCAACCTGTCCACAGAGGCCACAGGAAACCTCTGGTCAAAACCTTTTCAGAAACATAGTGCACAAAATCAGAGGCAGTATTCTGGCCAAGGCCTTACAGCAACAGGAAGGCTTAGCATGTTCTGCAGTAGCTGGCTTAGGTACAGCCCACAATGCCTGCCTTTCTCAAAAGCCACCATGGTTGTTCTGGCATGCAGGTGAGCAGCCAGCCTGGCCTGATGTTAAACTGACAGGTAAGAGTGTGAGAAACTGCTGGACATCGCTCGCAGTGTGAAGGGAGGAGTTGGCTGGAAGCTGAAGCCAACAAGGGGGTAAACATCAATAAGGGGGCAAACCAAATGGTGAAATGCACTAAAAGAAAGTGAATAATGGGTAAAGAATGCTAAAAGATAATGAAAAAGGGGACTGATTTGCAGACAGCTTTGGTGCTATCGCAGATTAAGGCTGAAATAGCCAAATGAGCATGCAAAATTCAGAAAAAATAAGGGCCAATGGAGAAGCAGTGAAGTGCAGGTGAATTCCTTATTTGCAAGGAGAAAAAGGGGGGAAAAAGTATTATTAGGTATACCAGAGGAATGCAAATTTTTGGGGTGTCTGTTGGTCAACTCTGCACCTGATTACAGCATACAGATGTAATAATAAACTGTAATAATAAACCATAGCAGTAAGTCTTAAATATGAACCCGTTTTTCATATTATCTCTATCTGACTGGCTTGTGCAGATAGGGTCATCTCTGAGTTCTAGTAAAACAACGGGGGATGAACAAAACCTTTCTAAAAGAATTTATCCCTCCCCCAGAAAACCATCAAACATTTTGCAGCAACAACCTGTTCAGTTTTTCCCAGTCTTTTACATATACTTAATTGTTCTTGCATATATGCCATGTACTAATTGGCTTCAATCCTGGTTTTCAGAGTCACTCTTCAACATGGCAGGATCATTCATATGTTTAACATGGTGTTTTAAAGCTTAATGTCTGCAAAATTAGTAGGCTTATTTTTGCTAATGCACCATAAAGGCAGTATTCAAGGGAACTGGATCTGGGTCACCTCTTCAGCAATTCTAGTCAATATGTCAGTTTGGAAAGGGAACCATCTATACCTAATATTGGATTATCCAACAAAATCTGTACAACAAAATCCATATAATACTTGTTTAAAATATTTTAATGTCAAAAGTTGTCAAAACCTCACTGGAATCAAGATATGTTGCAGCAACCTCCTGTCACACATCCACAAGATTTACATGTTCACAAGAGAAAATTAGATTGATTGTCATGATTTGTTATTGAAAAATCCTTCAGAGCAGTCATTTATCATCTTTCTGCTCCACACAGGTATTTTGTTTATTTGTTTCAAATTTCTTTACAGGGATTGAATTCAAATTGAGTAGTATCTAATTGCCTGATTTCTCTTTTTTTATTCCATTAGCAACCATAATGTTTGCCCTTTCCTAAGGTTTAGATATGACACTTGGCAGACACAAATCCCCTGAAATAATAATGATAAAAGTTTAGGTCTTTAAAACATAAAAACTATCCAGCAAACAAACCAAAAAACATTGCAAGTATTTTTATCTGTACAGAGAGAGAATTTGCTAATTTACTTTCATAAAAATTAAAAAGCAATCCAGCAGCATGTTTTTTGAAAACTGAGTCCCAAATTTAACAAAGAATCAAGTGCTTTCAATCTCTAGAGTATTATAATAAACAATACCAAGCAAAAAAAGTTATGATGCTTAGATGCTGTGTGTTTCATCATTAACACAGGTTACCCAAAGAGCTTCAGCAGAGCTACTTATTAAATGCCTTTCAAATTTGTGTAAACCTTGAATATTTCTTAAAACCTTGTAGTCCTTGATTTGGAGTAACTATCATGACATGTCCTAGTGTAATTAGAACTTGCCAAACAATTTCCACAAATAGTCTGGGATTTTAGCTTTGGTGGAAATAATTTCCAATAGGCAGTTTAAATGCAAACACCCTACTTTGGTGGGGAAAAGGAATTTAAAAGTGTGGAAGTAGCCAGACCAATTAACTTAATAACCTGGTACTGCCAACATAAATCGATATGTTTAACAATATAAACATATCAATAATAACTACAGCTTCTACTACCTTGCCTAATACCTCTAACTTTGGGTCATAGACACAGAGCAAAGTCATAGAATCAGAGTCAGAGTATTCTGAGCTGGAAGGGATCCACAAGCATCATCAAAGTCTAAATTATGGCCCTTCATAGGCTAAGAATCACCATATTTGTTTGACATCTTTTGGCAAAGAGACCCATAAATAAAGCTGGTTTAGACCCAAGAACCAATATCTTAGTCCTTTCCCTTTTTCTTTATTTAAATGTGCACAGAATTCATTATGTTCTGGAGATTCAGTTTGCAAAAAAAAAAAAAAAAAAACCTTTTTCTTTATTTAAATGTGCACAGAATTCATTATGTTCTGGAGATTCAGTTTGCAAAAAAAAAAAAAAAAAGTCAGAGGCAATATAAGACACAAAGAAGAAAGCCAGGTTTAACAAAGTAATTTTTTACATTCTTGATAACCTTGAATCCTAGTTTTTGAATGGCCTATGAAAACCAGAATCTGAATGAATCTATCCACATCCAACCTTCTCCCTTTGTGAAAGATTAAGTTGGACTCTAAAAGCAATGAAGAAAACTCACCGCAGGCAACACAGTAATGAAACTCTAAGGACCTGTTTAATTCTTCAGGAATGTCCATGCTCAAAAGAAAAGATAAATTTGCAGCTATCAAAAATTTTACTTCAAGGCAGTTCTTCAAGTGACCTCCAATCTCTTAAGGTTATCTTTCCTCTAAATTTTAAACCAATTGCCTTAATAAGAGCTATTCAGATCTGTACAAACATTATGTAACTGACAGTAATAGGCTCCATTAATCTAGGTCAGAAAAGCTTCTCTTCTGCTTTCAGTTATCATTGCCAAATTTTATATGATGCCTTTGTGATATATATATATATGAGAATTCACATTTTGATTGCTTTTAAAGCAAATTTTAACAGGATATGCAAAGTTTGAGTTGATCACAATTGTTCTTTTAATATTTTTATGTTTTCTAGTTTTGCTTACTTGATCTGCCCAAATTCATTATAAACTTTTTTTCCTCACTTTTTGGCAGAGAACAATCCAATGATTGTTGCTCTCAGTTGTACCTTAAAATTTCAAGTTCTGAAATTATGGTCCTAATTGTCCTTCTTTTCATACTCAGAATGGAAAAAGTGAGAGAGATTTGTACTGCCTAACTTTAGATGGTAGGCCAAGGCAAGTTAAGATTAGCAGAAGTGACTCTTCTAAAGGATGATTTAAAGGGTGATACCAAGTTTCACACTTGAACAGTTCTCTGGAACAGAATAGGCTTCTGCACTGATTATTTAGGCAATTTATGGAGACTAGGCAATTAATTTAGGAAATCAAATTACGTATCTAGTGATATGTATACAGTTGTATGACTGTCTTCAAATTTTTTTGAAAACTGAGGGAGAGTATGTCTTCTTTTTTTCAACTGAACTCATTATGTGTGCCCAAACTGATAAGGAAAAAACTTTGAATAGTTTACTAAAGCACTTGCAGTAGATAGTTAATCCAATAAAGATATCCAAATCCAATACCTTTTCCCCTGGCATTCATAATCACCTGGTTTTCATGTTGGTTTAATTAATAATTAAAAGCCATGACAAAGAGAGCAATTAAATCACGGAATTATAGAACAGTTTGGGTTGGAAGGGAGCTTTAAATGTAATGGAGGTCAACCCCACTGCAAAAAGCTGGCACATATTCAAATAGATCAGATGGCTCAGAGCTCCACTAATTTAACTTTGAATGTTTCCACGGATGGGGTGTGCATCACCTCTCTGGGCAATTTTGCCAGTGCTTTACTGCCCTTAATGTAAGAAAAAAATTCTTTTTTATGGCTAAACTAAATCAACGCTCTTTAAGTTTAAAATTAGTACCTCTTGTCCTATTACAATATGTTCTGCTAAAAGTTTGTCCCAGTCATTCTTATAGGCCCCCTTTAGATACTGAAAGGATTCAATAAGGTCACTTTGGGGCCTTCCCTTCTCCAGGCTGAATAACACCAGCTTCCCCAGTCTCTCCTCACAGGAGTGGTGTTCCACCCCTCTGATTATCTGATTGTGTCCTTCTCTGGATCTGTTAGAGTTGGTCCATGCCCTTCTTATTTTGGGAGCCCCAGGGCTGGATGCAGAGATACAGGGGTCTCACCAGAGCAGAGCAGAGGGGCAGAATCACCTGCCCTGACCTGCTGGCCACTCTAATTTTGATGCAGCCCAGGACACAGTTAGCTTTCTGTTCCCCAAGTCCTCCCTGCCCTTCAAGTGCCTTATCACAACTTCTAGGAGGATCTGTTCCTTGATCTTCCCAGGAACATGGATGAGGCTGACAGGTCAATAGTTCCTGCGTTCCTCCTTTCTATCAGTTTTAAAAGTGGGTGCAATGTTTCCTCTCTGCTTCTCACCAGGGACTTCACCTGACTTCTATGGGTTTGCAAACATGGAGAGTGCCTTGGCAACTACATCACCCAATTTTCTTAAGATTCTGGGATGCATCTCATCAGGTCCCATAGACTTAAGCATGTTCAGGTTCCTGAAGTGGTCACAAATCTGATCCTACAGTGGGAGGGACTTTGCTCTCCCATCACTTGCAGTCCATCCCCTAGGCAGTTTTAAAACTGACTACATTTGTATGCAAGCTCTACAAATTTTCCAACAATGTAATCACACAAATGAAAAAAAAAATGGATAATATAATGGAAATCTTACCTGGTCAGAGGGAGAACAGCATTTATTTGCCATTTTCATCTATGAAAGAGAGAGGGAAGAACACATAGAGTTATTGGTATGCTGAAGAGTTTCTGTGAAGGAATTAGCATAGATTGACTTAGTTATTGAATACTACATTAATACATCCAAATTATATTTGTAAGAAATTTTATCAGTCAGTGTTTAAATAGTAGATTTTTATTATTATAGCAAATTTGCAAAACCAAGGACTTGAAAGACAAAAGCTTTTAATCAATTTTCCTTAAATACCTCATAAAGATTTGCATTTATGAATTTAACTTGGCCAGTCTGAGTGAAAATACTATATTGTACTGTGGATATCTCACGTCTCAATTAAACAATTGCTTAAGCAGATTCTTAAATGATGTCTGCAATTAAGTCCTTGGACCATAAAGTGTAAGATGCATTTACAGCTGAAATGAAAATTGCATGGGCTTTCCTGTTAGTTTACTCTTCAAGACAAAGTTTTTCCTCTTTGTTTAGGTAATGAAGAGTTTTGATCATTTTGATTTTTCTCTGGCAGTCATAGTTTGCACATATGAGTGGTGGACAAGTACTGAAATATATAGTACACAAATACTTCCTTAAATGTAACATTTTTTAAAGTACAATTTTATTCAGTGTAGATAAGAATTTAAAAAGAAATATATTAGAGTGTAAAATCAGGCTTCCCTACATTCTAGGAGGAAGCTGAAAACTGTCCTAGAGTTGATGAGTATTTCCAAATGACCTTGTTGTCAAAAAGCTTGTTTTATTAGAAATGAAAGGTTTGTGATGGAAGACCAAAACCCTACACCTCTGAACAAGGAAAACTCGAATAGCCATAGGAATTGAACAGAAGAATTCCAGGGCTATTGTTTCTATGTTGGGTACACCAGATTTTTAAGATCAAACCTGTGGATGTAACTCATGTTAATATGGTGATGCCATTGACTGCTGTGGTGGGTTGGCTCTGGCCAGTGGCTGAGCATCCACATAGCTGCTCACTCTCTCCTCCCTAGTAGCAGGAAGGGTGAGAGAATAGGAAAAGCAAAAGCAAGAAAACTTCTGAGTCAAGATGAACAGAGCTTAAGTGAAAGAAACAAGAAAAATTCAAGTGATGTGGATGCAATCACTCCCTGCCTCCCACAAGCAGGCTTCAAGCAACAGCTTGGAATACAAACCCACACCTCTTTTCCCCATGATGTCATTTCAATTGCTGGGCACAATGGTGTTGAATATCTCTTTGCCCACTTTCAGTCAGCTAAACCCATCCGTGTCCCTTCCTAATTCCTTGTTCCATCCTCTGCTGAGGTGGGTGGGGTGAGTCAGAGAGAAAAAGTCAAAGCCTTCATTCCATGCAAGAACTGTTCAGCACCAATCAAAACACTGGTGTGTTAATAATGCTGTTCTAGCCACAAATACAGAACACAGCACCTGCTGCTACAAAGAGAGCTCCCCCTATCCCAGCCAGACCCAGTACATGTGGATGGGCCCACAGACTTTGTGTCATGGTAATGACACAGGCCTCAGAATGTGTCTGGGTTTATACATACACACACACTCTTGCAACTAACAGAGGACAATAACAAATCATTGTCCTCCACGGAGTGAAGTATCTATGATCATAAACAAAATGGCCTTAGGAGAAAAGGCAATGTGGAGGGGTAGGATGACAACAGGAGTCTTGACTGTATGGACAGAGGGTGACAGCAATGCTCAGGGCTGTGGGAGGTCTCTAGTCAGTCCTAACCCATCATGGGCCATCAGGGTTTCTTCTCCCTCACACACTCACTTTTGCAGCCCTTTGGAATTGAACTGTGTAGTTAAATGGTGCAGATATGCTGGTGGGTCAGATAGCTGGGGTGACCGAGGGTCTGAGGTAGAGGTGGCCAAGCTGCTGGGAGCCGGGGGCATCTGCCAGGCCTGGCTGCATGTTGGGAGATCCTGCCAGACTTTTGAAAAAAGTGGCCCTAACAGCTCCTGGCCACTCTAGAGGAGGAGCAGGGCCTACCACAACAGCAGTGGGTCACAGGCAGCAGGGCTGGCACCCACTGCTTAGCACAGGCAGGGAGCAACCAGGAGGATGGAACTGGAATTTGGCTGCTAACTGGACAGAGGGGCCCCAGCAAGGCTCCTGGCAGATCATGCACCAGGTGTGCCTTCCTCAGCCTGGCACAACTGCAGGGCTGCACTGTTCTGGAGCTGGCCTGGAGCACTGGCTGAGAGAAGAGTCCCCCATGGGGCCCCATCAGTAACAAACCAGCTGTCAAGAACCTCACTCTGTAACTCGGTTAAAACAAATTGGTGAAATGGTCAGTGTTGCAGAAGGAAGCAGTCACCAGTCTGATTTGGTGGTGGGCTTAATCCTGCTAGAAGAGTTGTGCAGGACATAATGAAAAGTCACCTGGACTACTTCAATGTCAGTAGAAATGCTGATACACCCGGCCCATAGCCAGGACCAACCTTTCTCCTGTGCCTCATACACAAATACATACACAAATTAACTACAGAAAAGCCATGTTAGACACACAAAAAATATAATTTCCTTTCATGTGTCTCACAGCCATACTCAATAATATTACTATAGCACTAACCAGTGCAAGTAAATGGGTTCAGATGTGGCTGGAAAAAAGTGTGTCAGACTGACTATGAAGGTTTTCTGCACCAAGCAGGTAGAATATTTTGAAGAGCACCCTAATAACCAGCTCAGCTTCCCATTGGAAAGGATAATAGGGAAGAATGTTTGGACTCCACAGTTTTTCACTGCACAGGCAACTCATTCCCTATTCCAAGCAGGATGGCTGCAGCCCTGATGTTGCTGTAGGGAGAGGAAAAAGATCTGCTTCTATATCGTATTACATCCCAGTGTCACAGCGCTGAGAAGTACGAACTCTTCACTTCACCCAGCACCACGTGTGCCCTTCACACGTCTCCACAGCTGGTGCAGACAGGCAGGAATACAAATGGGACACATTTACCTTTGCTAGCACTGCAGTATAGAAATGTGAGCTGGACACAGCAGGGGAACTAAAACAAAAAATCTGGGTCTGCAAACACTGCAGGCTGCTTGGAAAAGGAACTACTAAGCAAATTGTAATTCCTACACTCTGTTCTAAATGGATACATACAGGGAAGGACCTAAAATTATTCAGAACCATTTACCTAAATCTAAATGCCTCCCAGGCTGTGATTTATTTCACATATAATATACCTTTATTCTCTTTCATAAAAACAGTGAAAGATCTTGACAGGCACCTATTTTTTTCCTGGCTGTATTAGTATCCTATGTGACTGCTTATTGCTTGGCCAGGTTTAGGGGATGTGGGTCCTATCCCTGCTGACTTCCCTTTACAACCTCTACAGTCTGAACTGTGGTACTTTCAACTGGAAATTTTGCATTTAAAACAGAAAAAAAGCAGGAGTGAAGAAATATTATGCATTCTCACCCTGGGAATAGAACTGTTTGTATAATCATTGAGGCAGTCGAATTTGTATACTGCTTCCTACACACAAGGATTTTGTTTCCATCTACATGTACCCCAAATCTGCTGTGTAAAGAAAGCAAGACCTCCTCAATTTTCTTTCTTTTTTGTTAATGTATGTTTAAAGATCATAAGTCTCTCCCTATTACAACAGACATTTCACACAACTGCAACACAAAATATCCCCAGATACGTGTTCACATGAAGAAATAAAAGAGAAGGTTTACAGACTATGACATATACAATTAAAAAACATGTCATGGGCATAAATGTGATCTGGATTAATAACCCCACTTTAATATCAAATTTTAAGTTTCTACCATCGTCCAATGAAACTGCTGGAATGATTTATAAAAATCATAAATAATGTTTAAAGTGGAACAAGAGCATCATAACTTGTTCTCTGACCTGCTTATGACCTACTCATTTATTTACTTTTTTTTTTTTAAACAATAACACCATTAGAATTTACTGTGAAAAACCACAAAACCTTGAGAAAGTTTTATATATAAGAAACAAATCTGTATAATGTAAATGAACTGACAGCATTACGTTTAGGTGTTTCTACTGATTATGACTGAAAATATGCTCAGTGCTATATTGCAAAGACAATAATTAAGATCCATGACAAAACCTGCATATATCTTATAGCTGTCAATCTGAATGGTGAAAAACAGAGAGAGAAATATATAAATTGTCCCAAAGACCTTTCTCCTAGAAAGTCATAGCCATTACAGCTCTGCCACTTCAGCCTACAAAGAACCCTTCAGCTCAAGAAATTAAGAACAGGAGCAGTGAGAAGCACAGGCAGAATAATTTATTTCCTGTGTTTCTTGTTCAATCATGGAAGATTCACTGCCAGTTTCTGTTACTCCTTTTCCCCCATTTTTTTTAACTGCACCTCCTTCTGCAAGAAAAGAGGTGTGTGAAGAAATAAATCTCAGGTGCTGATTCACCTGCATTTATTTCTGCCAAGGATAAATGCAAAAAGCTTTGAGAATATTAAAAATGAGGATTGAATCACAAAGGACGATGATAGGGTAGTTTCATGCTGGTAGAAAAGTATGTGAAAAAACAGAATATATAGAGATAGGTTGGGGAGAATTTGGGGCAAGGGTCCTCAGAAATGCATGTTGCTTGTAAAGCTGACTGTAACTAGGAAATTTTCTGAGCTAAACATACAAAGCATGTATCAGCAATGAGGGCTGAAAAGATACTCTTAGATTTTTCTCCACGTTGCAGCATTCTCTGTGCTCCTCTGTCATCTAAGAATTAAGTCCAGGCTGGTACCAGAATCATTATTTATCATCTACCAAGTAACACTCTCTAAATATGCATAGGGGCAGCACTCCAATGCAGTGACAGGTTCTCACATCTCCACTGTTGAAAGATGACTCCTCCTATACACTTGATCCCCAGAGAGCTTGCCTTTGTATAGAACTTAGATGTTTCAGTAGTACTTCAAAAGAGTAGTCTGACATTAGCAGAAGTGTCACATTGCGGCAGAGCTATTTTTGCACTACCTACACTAGGACTGTCTCCTGGCATCAGCAGGAGATCTGACAAAGAGCTGCTGAACATGACTTTATTAGGGTAAAATAAAAAAAAAAAAAAAGTATATTAGGGTAAAGTGATACAGGAAAGATTGGGTGCAGTGCACAAAAAAATCCCTATTAAGAGCTCTTTAAGAACTAAAATTCTAAAAGAAATTATTTAAAATGTCATGGAAATATGTAGGGCAACAAGTGTAGATAAGTGTAACACAGATAGGCACATTTTAAGTAAGAATGACTAAGGTACGAGAAAAGTTGCTAAAGTCATGAAACAAGTACCAGCAAAACAAAATGTAGAAATGTGTGGAAGTAAAACATGAATAATGGTAAGTACTGCTTAAAAACCTCATAATAGCTCAGGTAAGGATGCTGACATTATGCCAACAGTGTTAGCAAAAAAGTCCATTGTGATCATGCATCTAGTAACTAATTTCCATACTGAGATGATGGTGTGGGACAGAATAGGAAATCAATAGTTTAACTATTTGGAGAAGCAACTGAACTTTGAGTCCGCAAGTACTCACGAAAATAATCCATAACCAGATAAGGAGCTCTCTGAAATAATTTCTGAATGAGTAGTGATTATCTTTGGTCCTGGAGAATGGGGAGACACTCTACAGGAGTGGAGAAGTGCAGAGACAGGAAGAAGCTCTGAAGGAATAACAGATACATTCCCCAATGTCAGTGTCAGAGGGACAACAAAAGGGATTCTCACTGACTACTTCATCTCCTCTTCTGATGATCAATAATTAAATAAATGCTCTGGCCTGACCTTTTACAGTGGTACCACAGGCTGCACACCTGACAAAACCTGGGAAGCCACTGTCCAAGCAAAAAAGCTTACATGCTTCTCATATGAACTTATATGAGTTTGCTTTGTAACTCACTAAGAACACAAAACATGGATATTCATCATGACTGTTGTTTCTCAGGCCCTTCCTGGGAACTGCCAGTTACATGAACACCAGATGGACTACTTTATTGACAGAATTCAATAGAAAAAGATAGTGGAGAAGACTAAGAAAGTCCTCAGTTCTTAATAAAATATTGCTGCTGACAGGTCACAGCACAGTGAAGATACATAATTACTGCAGGACACATGATTACTGCACATAGTCCTTTGGAAAAAACTGACTAGCACCCTATGACTAACAAAAGCTGCCTGCATTTGTTTTTATTCTTATTCACTTATATCATTGGAATGGCTCTTATTCAGTGAATTTCTCTAGAAAGAAAAAAAAGGCTTAGTAACTATGAATTGGAATTTCTCTAGAAATATTACCATACACTTTCTTAGAATTATTACATAATAATACCCTGTACGTTATCTGAGTCACTAAATAGTATCTGAAAAGAACATGTCATAAGCAAAAATGTCTGATTTTGACAAAGAGATTGTTTAAGCAATTGAATATTTTAAAAGAATTAATGGAATAAATGAATATTTTAAGAGAATTAATGGAATAAATGGACTATTATGATCAAATGTGATTCATGTAGCTTTTGTAGAATAGGAAAACAAATTAAATTTTAAGTCTGTTTTAACCAACAGACTTAAAGATTTATGTTGGAATTTAATACAAATTCTTCACAATATAATCTGGAGACCTAAGCAACAGTTCATTTAGAGTACAAAGCACAAATAAAAGTCAGGCTACTAAATCATAATTTACGAAAGAAGTTAACAGACTATGCACATGTAGAGAAAGAAAATATTAAAAACTGCACAGGCACTTTTTCAGGGACAGCTGTGCTACCGCATTTTTCATCACTGAATTTTATCATTTTTTAAAGACAAATATACTTTCAAAATTGTACATTATTGAGTTCCATATTTAACTTCATTGTTAATTCCATAATTATCAATGTTGTTAGCTGCTCTTTGATGGAATAATAGATGTGCTGTCCAAATAGTAATTTTCTGTTTCTCTGGGGACTAGTTAATACTTCTGTTTGCAAAGGCAATTGTTACTTAATAATTTACAGGAGTAACTTAAAATAGTATAAGCATCTTTATACTTCCAGGAAGTGAGATAGAATAATGTGTCCTTAAATAAATCAACTCCTAGACAACTTAGAGATGTAAAATTATTGTCTCCAGTAAGTCTCAGTAAATCATTCTTCACTAGCTACAGAATTTTCACATGCTTGTTTCAAAAGAAACAAATCTAACAAAGAGCTGCTGAACATGACTTTATTAAGGTAAAAAAAAAAAAAAAAAGAAAAGCAACAAATGCTAATTTCAAGCATGGTTTAACTACAAAAATGTGAAAATGAAATATTTGGTCACATCTAAAGCTCTGTGAAATGACCACTACTGATACATATTTTGACCTAAAAATCTTTAAAAAGATAAACGCAATCTGATTTTCTACTGGTTTCTGTTCTATGCTAACACTGCAAGCCTTGAAAACTTCTTGATACTTTTGATCAGGCAGCTCTCCCTATTTTGTCCTTTCTCTTTTTCCTCCCCATACACAAGCATTTTATATATTGTACTTAAAGGTGAATTGTTTTTTACCTTTTGAAAACTAGAAATAACTTTACAATAGGATAAACAAGAAAATATGCAGAAAGTAACATACATTTTGAAGTGTCAAATCACTGATGTTAGTAGACATTGCTCTCAGCCAGTCAGCACTCTCCTGGGCTGTATAAAACTGAAGTATCCCAGTACTAACTCCATCGAGTGCCAGCACTTCAAATGCATTAGATCTGCAGTAAGAAGAAATATATCCGTAAAGGAAGATATGTCAGTTTTCTGAAACTGCCCAATATTTATCAGTGTTCAAGTGATTTTTATGCCTTTTGACAAGTTTTTGACTGTTTAATTTACCAATCAATAGAAAGGCAACAAACCCAAGGATAATAGGGCAGTACCAAGAGTAACAGATACAAGAAGTACTTTCTCTGTACCAATATATACAAGTGCTGATGATCATTTACTTCCCCTGGGTATACATATTATGTTTATAATTATTGAACTTAAGGTAGTGTATTCAGGAAATATGCATTGGGCCTTTTTGAAGAAAAAATTATTGTTTTTTAAAACCAAAATGCCAATTTTATTTATTGCACTTTGGCTTAATTTACTGGGAATGTATGAAGATTCAAAGCACTGTCTTACTTAGCTTCCATTTCTTGGATTCCTAAAGTATTTTATGTAGTATTCAAAGCAATGCTTACTTCAAGCACTCATGTCATAGGAATTTGAAAAACGTTCTTAAAAGTTTCTTCAAACATTTTCCCTAGTCTTCTCAAAACAGCATTGGCACAGGCTAATGTGCGACTGCATTTTGTTAACTTTTAATGCAACTTTTAGGTGTTTATAGCAACTTTATTCTGCAAATACCAATGCTTTCCTTCCCTCACTTTCTGCAGTAAGTTAGGCACTGCATATGTACCTTTGAAATCCCCTACACCTGAATGCTGGTGGGATATGCTTTTTTAACTCTTAAAATTTTCCTATAGGAACCACAAAAGCTCATTTAGTAGTGGCATGAAAGTGAGTGGATTACACTAAAACCCCTTTTTAAAATATGGTGATCAATTACAGACAGTTAATAATATTCAATAGAGATCGAACACTTCACTAACATGATATTTGCACAGAATCAAATAAGGTGTGAGGAATCCTGCTAGTCCCCATGTCCAGCCTCCTCACTAACTTTCTTAAAATACAAATCTTTTCCACAGGAACACCAAAACTAGACACAGAGGGAGCTACCTTAGACGTGGCCTCAGGAATGCAAGTAGATGAGAATAGGTGAGAGCAACCATTTTCCTTGGTTATCTTATTGCTAACACAGCCCATTATATGGGAGTTCATCACTGAACCTGTGCTCAGCTGACTCCTGCTCAGTGGGGTGTCTGCCAAGGTCCCCAGGCCATGCCTGCAGAGCTCGTTCCCTTGCTCCAGTACACTATTGTTGGGATTCATAAAATTAGAGTGTTTTGAGAAAGTGGTAAAAAAGCAAGCCTCAGACAGCAGATCTGTGAACATTGCTAATACAGCGAAAAGTTTTCTAAGCAGTAGAGCAGACGTGAGAAAGAGAACAATAAGCCCCTGTGATGTGCCCTTATAGGTTGCAACAAGTTTATTTAATGTATATCTTTAGAAGGTTAGTATGAATGAGTCTTTGTGCTTTGTCTCTCATAAACGAGCCATTGTGTTAGAAAAAAAGTCCCTATTGTGTTATCTACCATTACGTGTGTTTCATATGATTGGATAGAATTATTGTCAACATGTTTTGCTCTGTGTGATTGGCTGAAACCTAGGCTGAGATGGCTTTATGCTACCCTGTAACGTGATGTTTCCTTGGCATTCCATTTGAATCAGAGAGCTGCGAACATACTCTGTCTCCATTGTTCTAACAATGTACTGAGACTGATGTTTGAAATAAACAGCTCACGACACTGATTCAGATTGTCCCTTCTGTTTGTGGCTGTATATAGCGTGCTGGCCTGGCACACTGACACCAGAACATTCTTTTCCCAGAGCTCAGGCTGGTTCAAGGCTTCTGAGGAGCCAGTGGTGGTCACACTGCCTGGCACACGAGACTGAGACCTTTGGGGCACTGCTGTCCCCACTGGGCTGGCTTGGCAAGAAGGTGGTTTTAGCAGAAAGCAGTTCAGTGTAAATGACATAAGATAAAAAACCAGCCAGTGCTTTTCAAAGTTTATATATGCCAGTCATGGTAGTAACACAATGCTTTTGCCCTGAATCTTAATCAACTTTACTACAAACTTTACTTTATTTCTTGCTTTCAGTTACAAAAGTTTCTCTCTGAAGATCCCATAATATATTGATATTGTTCCATGTACCACAGTGTATTCTAAAAAGCATAGTGTGCAGAAGGCTACAAGTAAAAACAGATATCCAAACTAAAAACAAAAGCTTAACAAAATAAATCCTAAGGCTTTTGTTTTAAGCGAAACAATCAAAGCAAGCACCAAGATGGCCCTGGAATTCACAAGAAAATAAATCCTACAGGCTTAAGTGACATGCATTTCTCTCTGCCATTTCCTCAAAACAGAGAAAAGAAAAAAAGACACAACAAAGCACTTACTCCTGTTAGCTGTCAAGGAGGAGCTTTCCATTTAATACCAAATAATAAGTTTGAATGGTTTCAAGATGCCATAAAGTTGCTGTAGGTTTTTATTTTCATTGTTGGTTTGTATTTCTTTTTTCCCTGAGGCCCTAAGATGATTTTAAAACACAGACAGAGGAAATTTCTACATCTTCTATTACTGAAGTTATGCTGCTGACTACTGCAACTAGAGCAAGAAATTAATATTTGCATTTCCTAAATACTAGAAATTTGTGTTGCACTGCCATCACATTTCTTACTTTGAGATTTTTCTCCTTATCTGTAAATTTGTTTCCTTCAAGCATTTCTGCTAAGGAGCATGAGGCACCATTTTCAATACTCAGTGTCTTTCTATCTCACTTTCATGGTGAAATTATGAATAGATCTGCATTCCTGATCTCTTCTGGAGTTTGTTTATGGTATTAATTTCTTGTAATAAAATAAACACTCTTTGTGAGCATGGCAGTCAGAATAACAGATAAGACTTTAGGTTTTCTTCTTGACATTGACACATTTAAACAAGTACTACTAATTAATATTAGTAAGGAAATTTTTCCATACAAGCAGTTTGCTGCTATAAAGGTGTTAAATCCAAAGACTTTTCTAAGATAAAAAGTATTTTCAGTGCCAGCTGAAATGGGAAGAGCTGAACTTTTACTTTACTGGAGGCTAAGAAATCCAGCAAAGCATATATTTTTATTTTTAGTATCTGCAGCATGTGAAACCATCTCTCTTAGACTTATATAGGTATTTCATTATATAGATATTTCTACAAAAATCTAGATGTAGGCTTGACTGCAACTCTTTCATCTTTACTACCATGCTGATACAGACAGATGGATTTGATCAGCTTTGCATCTTCCCAGGTCCTGAATCAGTACTTCCTCCTGTTTGTATAATTTTTTCATGTTTGAGCTAATTTTTATTGCTTTTGCTACAACATTTTATTGTGGCTTGTTTATAATACTACACGGCCCTCTTGCTAGAATGTCTACTTAGACTGAAGTTTTAAGGACTATGGGTAGATCTGAGTGGAAATTCTCCAAAAGGAAGGATCTGAATTACTTAATCTCTTTGAAATGTCATGTAAAAAGTAATGGGATTTTGTATTGTAAATGTCACAGAACCTCGGACCTTGCAAAATGTCTAAATGTGAGCATGTAACTGCACTATCAACAGAAACCATGTAGCTCAGAGGATATCAAAACATTAAACATAAACTTAATTGCATTCTATGTTTGTAGTTTTGGGGGGAACATTTTGATTCCAGTATTGTAACTTTTATTTTCATTACACTTATAGAAACCAAGTAAGATAACTGAAGTAACACAAACATATGTACTTCTACAGATATTGTCTAACTGATGTGTCAGAAAACTGTGAGAAAGTTCATTTAATTTTGTGAGACAGTGAGATTGCGCCTAATTTTAAGATTTTTCCAAAATGGTTCATTCAATTTCTTAGTTTTCAATTTATTTACCTAATTAAAAGCACTTGTTAACTTACTGAAATGATAAATGGAAAATACCATTCTTCAGAAAAAATCTGTTAAGAAACCAGTGAACACATTAAAAAAAATAAAAACACACAATACTTCAGAGTAATTGCAATGGTCAGAATACCAGGAAATAAAAATAGCACTAAATCTAATTAAGTTGTTTTGTAATTGGCATCACAGCTACATGGACTCATAGCTACTTTCATTCCACTCACTACTTTAGTCTCCCATATTTGAAATAAGCATTTTTTCTTCAGTCTCTCAACTCATAATGTTCAAGTTGTTGTATGTATTGTACATTTACTCAAAGCTTCTGCCAATACACTGTATAAAATCATTATACATTACTACCAGTATCAGCTGTAAGGACTAAAAATAGTAATATCTGCATTTCCCCAAATAAAAACTGCATAACAAAAATGAAAGACTACAATGCATGATCTGTATTCCTCACCTTCTAAAAGACTAGCTGTCTTTACTTTTCTATCTTAAAAAAGAAAACCATCTCAAACTAGAATATGAACCACAAATTCCTTTGGGTGAGAAAAACTTACTGATATTATTTCTCTGTTAAGCTTACATCACATTTATTGACCAATTCAGTCCTCAACAGTCAAAAAATGCTCCTATTGCCAACTAGCAATTAAGAGTATTCACAGCAATAGCATTCTCACTATATTTATATTGCCTTACTTCTCACAGAGAAAAATTACATTGATGGATTGTGAGAAGTCTAGAATAATAAAAGCACTAGTGCTATAAAATAAAGGCAAATGAATAAAAAAAGATTCATTTCTAACTAATCAAAAAGACTAATTAGCATGCTACATATATAAATACCTTCAGACAGACTCCAACCATACCAAGAATGCGAAATACACTAATTCAAGCTGATTTCAGTAGTTGATACAAAGTTTAATCTTCCATTGAGAACAGGAATGACAGCTACTATGTTTCTTATTTTTCCTTTAAAATATTCAGAGGAAATTTTTTTTGCTTTTGTTTTGTGGTATTGATAAACATATTTCACATGCCCAGTGTTTAGTATTTTAGCCATTCCTTTATAAGGAAGGAAAATACCTATCCCATTCTCTCTTGTTTCTGTTAATGCATGTGGTGTTAACAGAATTAAAAATATATGAAAAAAATATTCTTGTGTCATTAAGTTACAGTCTAAAGACTTCCTGTGAAAAATACAATAAAAAGTCAAGTGAAATGAAAACCCAGAGGCAAGTTGCCTTTCTTTTCACATGAACAACAAATAAGAATCAAACAGATACATGTGATCTTGGCCATCTCATGACACAAGAATATGCTGAAAGCATGCCTTTTTTTTGGGCAAAGCTACTGGAAAACTCAACTGAACTACAGAAGAATTTAAACTGCACAGTTTAACCACAAAGGATATAATACAGCCCAAGAACATGCAGGATACATACAAGTTATGACAGACTCGTGGACTCATGTAGTACAGGAAAAACAAACATGCTGTCAACCCATGTATGAAAATAGGCTCCAAATAAATATTCAGGGTATGGTAAAATTAGGAAATCAGTCAGAAGGATCTGTGATCCATTCAGGGGAATGAGTTTGTGCTCACTCTAATGGCTTTAGACTGATGGCTCCAATCTAAAAGGGAACAAAGACAGGCAGATGTGGTTGAAAGCCGGGTTTTTATCCAGACTGATCAGAGGTTTTATTTCATGCAAAGCAAGTATTTATTTTAGAGAGTAATTACAGAAGACATACATTGGACACTATACATATATGAACATGGGGAAATGCAAAAAGAGGATACGAGTTGGATAATAGTAAAAATACATACATGCATTTCACAGTACATGGTAAGAGTAGTCTGCTGTCCCTCAGGCACAGAAATTCCACTTTTAGTAAGAATATGGGAAATGCCTCATCCACAGTTAGCCTCAAGGCAATATCCCTTTAATGCTCATATAGCTGATTTGTTGGTTCACCAAAACAAGCAAGCAGCACTTACTCTAGAAGTAAAGTATCATGGGATGACAGTAGGCTTTATGGCACTATTTCATATTCCTTCCGAGTGTATACAACAATAATAAAACACCCACTAATAATAGAAGAGTGCAATATATACTAAATATATATGGAGTGAGATACATCATGAGAGAATATGTCTCTCCCAAGACTAAAACTGAAGGCACTAAGTTCCTCAAATCTTACACCAAAAACGTCTGTGATGGGTTGATCTCGGGCCAGCAGCCAAGAATCCACACTGCCATTCACTCCCCCAGCCCTCTCCAGAGGCATAGCAGAGAGGATTCGAAGAAGAAAAACCTCATAAACTGAAATAAAGCAAGTTTAATAAATAAACAGAAGAGGGAAAACCCCCATCTAATGAAATTACTGCAAAACAAGTGATGCAAATACAACCACTCACTGTCTCTCACAAGCAGAATGATATCCTGTCAGTCTCCATGAAATGGCTCTCTTTCCCCATGCCCTCTCTGCTCAGTTTTTATTGCTGAGCAAAGATGTTGCACAGCATGGAATATTCCTTTGGTCAGTTTGGTTCACTGGTCCTGCTTGTGCCTCCTCTTAAATTCTTGCCTACCCTGGGCCTATTTACTGTGTAGGACAAACCAAGAAAAAGAGAAAGCCTTGATGGTGTGCAAGCCCTGGTCAGCAACAGCCACTAAACTGGTGTGCTATTAATATTGCTTTAGTCACAAATGAAAACACAGCACCATATGGACTACTATAAAGATGAGCTTCATCTCAGCCAGACCCAGTACAAAGCCAGAGCCGTTTTACTTCAGAGAATTCTCAAAATTCACATGCTACTCTTCTGGGAACTGGAATCCCTTGGAATTTCTCAATCTAATGTGTAAAGTACACAGCACAGGAATAAAACCTCTTCAAACTATCAGGGTGGTAACTGAAGTCAGAGGTTTAAATGTTCTGTCCTCTTCCATTTATCCTTCAGATTCTAGAACACTGATGATAAGTTGATGCCTAAATGTGAACACTGAGATTTTTTTATTTAATTCACTGAATGTCTAAGCCTCGAATGGTTGGAGGTTTGTGATAGGTTGGACAAGACTGGACAGCAGAACTTGTTAGCTGAAGTAGAGAGGAAGAAAGTGGTGGAGAAGTGATGAGACACTAAGTTGAAGAGAATTAAGAGTTCAAAGAAAGTCTGTGGAAGAAGCTAAAACTTTTCTGGACAATTTATTATTCACCTGTGATGCTTTAACACAAAGTCTGGGAGAGGAGCTGCCAACTGCCTTAGAAGCTGAATTACTGTAAGTTAAAGCAGCATATCTGTCCTACTAGAAAAATAATGTGTTTCAGGTCATTTTGAGGAAACAGGTAAAAATTTGGCAGAAGTCAATAAAGATCTTCACATGAATTTCTGGTACCTCCTCATAGCAGGTGACCTGTACATTGATTCGTCTATAGAGATTCCAGTTATCTCCTTAATATGTATTAAAGGCAAATAAAAATAGGGCAACCCCTAAAGACCATGGAAAATAAGGACAGTGAATGAACTCCTGCTCTGATACATATGGAGAACTATGGTCTGCTTGGCCTACAACTACTGGTAGATTTGAGAGAGTTGTACCATAGAATGGTTTGCAGAAAAAGCTTATGTATTCTGCAATGTGTAAAACTTTCTCAAGCATATTTTTTATTGAAGCTTTATTAAACTTCACTTTTGTTTTTATATTTCCTGAAGCCCAGTAAAATAGCCTCTGACATCCTATTCCACAGTTTATTAACCATTAGTTAGGTCTCTGAGATGCAAAAAAATTCTATGATCAAAAATACAGTATTTTGTACCATGTACTTTGCCAAAATATCATCAATATGGCTTTCTTTATGACACTGATAAAAGTATATCTACATGACATGACAGCACAGGCATGATGATTATGCATGGTGTTATCATTTATAATGAAAAAGGAGAGTTAATTGACAATATTAGAATTGGGGAACATAGAAGTATCCTATTAGGTACACTGAAGGAAATGTAGTAGCTTCAAAATTCATTCACATAACACTGGGATTAACTTTTGTGCTAGCTGCTGATGCTAACTGAATTCCCAAGATACAACAGATTATAGAAATGTATTTGTAGGAGCTTTACTTTATCTTTGGTAATCACCATGAATACCATTAATCTTAGGAGAAGATGAACTGCATAGCTTTTAATAAGAAGAATTGCATATCTCCACTCAGGTCCTGTAAAGCCAACAATCCACAGCAAAACACTTTGTACAGCTAACTAACCCAGTGCCTCCCGTTTCAGATTACAAACCTTAATTTATCTGTTCCGGTTTTGTACCTCGAGATTCGAGCCATCGACAGAGGAACTGATAAGGTGTCTAGCCAGCGCTTCTCGTATTTTGGTTCATTAGCTATGGGTGAAGAAGGTGATGATGGAGCCTGTGCAGAATAAATGAGAAACAGTAGGAGAGCTTAGAATACAATATAGTGAAAAACCCATGAATATGCATCTCTGGCTCTGTTTGCCTCAGAAGTGAATAATCATCACAATAAAAGTATTCAAGAAACTCAGAGTGGAGTAGAGAAATGAAAACTCCTATGTTACCTATCTTGATATTTTGCTCTTGCTGCAATTTCAGTATTGCTTTAACATTAAACACATCTAAATTTTTGTTAATATTGATAACTGATACTAGAAAGTAAAGAGCTTTCAGTCATAAATGCCATGATTTTATTCTAAATGCAGTATAATATACATTTGTAGTTTAAATTAATTTGTTCTGTATAACTCTTCTGCATCCTTCTATCATCAGAGAAAATGACATAAATAATATCCTAATTAAAAACTACAGTGGAATATTTATTTGTGCATTGTGCTCTTATTTAAGAGTAGATTTAAAATTCTAATTCCTGTGTTATCATACTATAGATGGACGACTTTTGAAATTTTATCTTTGAAGTCCTTCTTCAAATGTCTCTACTGAAAAGGCAAAAGTTGAGCATTTCACTCTTTTATAAAGATACCAGTAAAATTTGCACAAAGTTGGCTGAGAAAGATTTACAGACATACACATTTAGGTCAAAGTTAGCATTTGTGCTTTTTATGAACCAAAATTTTTTATCCTACACTGAGCGGATAACTTTCCAGTAGAAAACAGAGTTGAAAGTTAATTGTTTTTATATGAACTGTACATAAGCACTGAGTAGTATTTATGAAAGCAAAGAAACCACAAAATGACCCAAATTCAGTTCTGTTCTGCCAGGTGTTCAAAAGCCATAAAACTTACACATAATAAAAAGCATTCTGGGAATTGTCTGTTTCTTTTTATTGCTCATAAGGATTTAGGATTAATTTCCCCCCTAAAGCCCCTTCTTACAGTCAACAAGGGCTGATCTATTTACTTTAAATAAATCAAAATAGTGAGTTTCAAGTTCTAACAGGATGACTGAGACTTAATGACAGAAGTATAATTTTTTTAGTAAAAAAAAAATGTAATGAACTTGCTGGAGTTGGTAGCACAAAGGAGTGTTTTAGACAGAATTTATTTTAGGGACAAGAATTTCATTTAGAGCATTGGCTATCCCCTAGAACCATACAGGTCTCATTTGACTGAGATGTCCTGGTATTTTTGCAGTAAGAGTATTTCATAATCAAGCCCACAGACTAATTTTGTTTTATGAAATTAGACACAAAAGGCTAAGGTGGCTTTAAAATCTAGAATAAATTTATTAGTATCACAATGAAGAATCTGGCACATATTACAGAATTCTGCATGAACCAAAATAATTGACAGAATCTCATGCAATCTGAAGTTGAAAAGGCTCAACATAATCTAACATAGTCTGTCTGGAAACAAAAATGTCTAGGAATAAACAAGATAGCTTATTGCAGTCAAATATAAATACTTGATTATGATCACTGAATCCAAGAATGAGAAAATAAAGGAACATAAAAATCCCTGCAACAACATCATTGATTGTTCCCACCCTCTAAACTCTCAAGATGCAGAAAACATCTAGACAATTTAAACATATTTTTCTTGTGATCTATTAATTTTACTTCTTTTAACATGTTATTGAGCATTCTGATAAATAATCTGTAATATTCTAATTAATTTAAGAGCATTTGGCAGGAAAAAAAAATTAGTAGGTCACATACGCAATTTAATGTTTCCATTTGAGACCCCTACACTTCAATCAAATGCTTCAGTAGGGTATCATCATAAAGAAAAAGTATCTTATAGAATGCAAGAAAAACCTAGAATTTTAGAAAATGTACATCACAGCTATTCATTAGGTTAATGAATTGAAAGGGAAAAATGGCCAACATAACTTGGTCAAAAATCTATTAATCCCAAAGCTACAAAACTGCAGCATAGAAATATTCATGTCAAAATACTAAACTGTTAAAACTGCTGCAAACTCCTAAAGCAAATGGGTCTTCCCATTTCAAAAGTACACTAGAAGGAATAATTTTTTTCCCCATGGTTCCAAACTACTTCTATCTACAGAAAACCCTACTGCATGATCTGAACATTAATGGCCAAGAACAGCAAAAGGGTATGAAGGGGTCAAGCTAGTTATGGTAGAGCATAAAGTTGGAATTACCCCTCTTCATCTTCTTAAGAGCAAACCAGGGAATACATACCATTGCACAGAAAACCAGGGAATACATACCATTGCATAGAAACAAAATACCATCATAGGACCAGCAGCTCATTTTGTTCTATTTAACCTGTAATCTATGAACAATTCAATCTGAGACTCCTTGATATATTCTCGTCAAAACACAAGGACAAAAATGAGAAACTGAGAAGGAAGCAAGTAAAAAAACAAGAGAAAGGGCTGTCTAAAAAGCTCAATAAACTGAACGAGAGATAAAAGAACTGCTAAAAATATAGTAGATAAATGTATAGCAATGCACATGAAGGAAAACAATATTAACTTTTCCCACTGTAATGGGATAGGAACAGGTGATTAAAACTCAAAATTTAGATCTTGAAATTTAGATGTTGAACAGAATTTTTTTTTAACAATTAGATAAACAAAGATTCATTGGTCTGGAAAAGAAACTGCTGAGGGAATTGCATGACTGACGTGTAAAAAAAATAAACAACAGAGAAAGGGGTTAAGAAACAGTGGTGCACTTGGTATTTTCACATAAGAAGCAGGAGTATTGATTAGAAGTAAAAGACGTTGGATAAAAACAGAGAATGAATGTGCTAATCTATATAACAAACTGGCTCAGGAAGCATCTATGTCAGAAGTCATCAGAAATGTAGGAAAAATTCCCGGAAATATTTGCACATATTTCCTCTGTTCTTGCATTCTCTTGAAGGCATCTTTTGGGAACAAGCTTTTTGGCTGGGTGGTTCTTTGGTCTGACCCAGTGTAGTGAGCTGGCTGAACTTCAAGGCATTTCTCCACTAAACAGCTACTGCTGCTCCTCTTGAAAACTCTTCGCATCATTCCTCCAAAGCACTAAAATAGAGCTCATCTCTGTAATCACAGCTTTTATGCTCTCGATCATTCCATACCTTCAGTTTTCTGTTAAGGTCACCAACAATGTTGCCAATTAATGCCAATTTGCTTGTAACACCTGCCCATTAAGAAATGGATTGAACACAAAAACCTCGTTTTTGACAGAACAGTGAACAAGAATCAAGTTTTAATGACACATAATCACTACCTGCCTGGGACAGCTGTGTACTGCTGATGTGGAGGAGGGCCTGACTCAGTATCCCATTAGCAATCACTGACCTATGAATGACACTGTAGGCAAGTGTTTTAGGCTTTCTTAAACAATTATATAACTAGTCATTATGGTGCAACCAAAAAGTCTTCAAAGAGGTAGAATAAGTTCAGAAAGTCCACTGCTAACGGGGAGATGTAATCAGACATGTCTCTATAGTTAAGTTTCCACTAAAAGCATAAGAAGGAGGGGAAAAGATCCCAGCTGGCTGGGACGGTCAATTTTTCCTCTTTTTGTGCCATATAATTTGCAGTTTGGGAAACAGTAATTTTACATTTCTTTTAAACTGTCATTGATTTTAAATCTCTGCAAGAAAAATATCATGTCATCAGAAGAAAGTATTTCTGAATCTTCTCTAGTAATTTAATTTACAGCTGCTTTTAGGGCCCTCCCTTGAAAGCAGCCATAGTGTTATTTTAAGTTGATGCAGCTTTTTCATTAAACATGGGCTTCAGGAAGGCTGAAGCTGGGTTAATTTACTTGGAATCAGAAATACTCAGGGTCACATTATTCAGCAAGATTAAACTTGGTTTTAAATGTATTTTTAATCTCATATTACAGTGTCTGCTTTGGAGAAAGGCAAATGATGCCCCATCTTTGGAAGTGTCCAAGGTCAGGCTGAATGGGCCTTTGACCAGCAATCATCCTGAGTGCTACCATGTGGCACATGCAGAACAACCAGCTGATCAGGCACAGCCAGCACGGGCTTAGGAAAGGCGGGTCCTGCTTGACCAGACTCATCTTCTATTACAAGACTGGTGGATGGGGGAGAGGCTGTGCATGTTATCTACCTGGACTTCAGTAAAGCTTTTGTTACTGCCTCCCACAGCATTCTCTTGGAAAAGCTGGCAGCCCATGGCTTGGAGAGGTGCACCCATCACTTGCTAAAATCTGGCTGGATGGCTGGGCCCAGAGAGTGCTGGTGAATGGAGTTACATCCAGCTGGGAGCCAGTCACAAGTTGTGATCCCCAGGGCTCAGAATTTGGGCCAGTCCTGTTTAACATCTTTATTGGTGATCTGGAGGAGAGGATCAAGTGTACCTCCAGTCAGTTTGCAGAGGACACCAAGTGGGGTGGAAGTGTTATCTGCTGGAGGGTAGAAGGAACTGCAGAAGGATCTGGACAGACTCCATCCATTGTATGAGGTTCAATAAGGCCAAGTGCCAGATCCTCCACATGGACCATGATGGTCCCCTGCAGTGCTACAGGCTGTGGGTAGAGTTCCTGGAATGGTGCAAAAGGACCAGGATGTCCTGGTTGACAGCTGAACATGAGCCTGGGTGTGCCTGGGTGACTAACAAGGCCAGTGGCTGGAGAAAAGGCAGCTCTGGGGCATCCTTATTGCTCTCTACAACTACCTGGAAGGAGGTTGTAGCCAAGTAGGGGTTGTACTCTTCTCTCAAAAAACAAGTGATAGAACAAGAGGAAATGGCCTCAGTTGCACAGTTGCACCAGGAGAAGTTTAGGTTGGATATTAGGGAAAACTTCACAGAAAGGTTGTCAAGCGTTGGAGCAGGCTTCCCAGGGAAACTATTGAGTCACTGTCCTTGGAGATATTTAAAAGATATATAAACAGGACACCTAGAGACATGGTTTGGTGTTGGACTTGGCCATTCTTGGTTAAGCTCAGGTTGGATTTGATAATCTTAGATGTCTTCTCTAACCTAAATGTGTCTATGATTATTCC